CCCCCCCCCCCCCCCCCAAAAAAAAGGAAGAAGATAAAAAAAAACAAGGAAAGAAAGCAAATTCTGTAGCTTTTTTTTTTTGGCTTAATCTCTATCATAACCCGCAATTTGATTCGCCATTGTTGAAGTTTCAAGCTTTTGCTTCTTGTTCAAGTAGTTCGATCTATAGGTGAGTGATTCTCTCGCCTTCTCATCTATCCTGCGAGATTTTGATCCCTGTTTTTAGATTTTTGGTTGAAACAGGAGATGGTTTTTTTTTTATAAAAAAAAAATTCTTGCGATTCGTCGAACATTGGCGTCCCCTTCACTTTTTCCCCTTACTGCACTCTGATTTTTTTTTTTAATCCGTGGAATGAAATATACGTTTGTTTTCTTGATTTCTAATGATATTTAGAGAATGCGTGTATGTTCCAAGATGAGGATTTTGGTTGATTTTTTATCTAACTTTCAGGTTTACTTAGACACCCTTCAAGTTTGTTGGCATTATCTCCTTCATAGTGTCGTTTGCTTAGCCAAAGGCAAGAACTTGCTATTTTCTGCAATGGCGGTTTTCTCTGGTAGGAGATGGATCGCTTGCTTTGAGATTACATATGAATCGGATCTGTACTGCTGATTTTGTTTGTTAAAGCTCTTGTTCTTGATTGGCAACTGAGGTTTCTTCAATGGGTAAGCTAAAGAAATTTTATGGTGGTATGGATTTTCCAGTGGCTATATGGCTGTTTGGTTACAAAAAAAAAAACACTTTTTTTTTGTGTGTACCGGACAATATCTTGTCAGCTTCTGGTGTCTTCTTCAAGATCAATCTTTTTCCCCTGTCTGAATATGCCTTTCTGATGGTATGAAGCAATGATTTTTAACATCAGTGTCATTGTTGTCAATATGGACAGGCTGTTCTTTTGACAGATTTGAGTGTTAATCGATTGTCTCGGTGGCGATTCATGATGGCCGAGGAGGCTACTGGCCCCTTTCGGACACCGGAAGTTATGAAAAAGCAAGTGGATAGTAATAAACTGAGAGGAAACTCTGGTGGGAAGGCAAGCTCATCAAATAGTGGACAGAAAGAGCTCCCTCACTATCTCAGAGCCTCGACGGGTTCATGCCATGATCTCTGCAAGTACGGGAGGAAACACATACCCGAGGAAAAGCCGTGGAGGGCAAAGGCTAAAAAGACTGTCAAGAAACTTCCTGATGGCATGACCAAAGCTTCGAGCTCGGGGTCATCTAAGACAAAGAAGATGATTGAAGTCGAGAAAACACAGGTTCTTGATTGTTCAGATGGTATTTCTGAGATTATAAAGAGAGAGGTGTTGAAGTCATCCGGCAGTGTCTCTGCCATGGCGACAACTCCTCCTTCAGAGCAGAGCGATTCTTCTCTACAGAGGAAGAAAAAGACAACTGGTTCCAAACTTAAACCTTCTCCTGTTTCAGGATCCCTGACATCTGGTAACGACAATACTCAGAAGCAGAAAGTTATGTCAAGATCTCATTCAGGAAGGGCAACTCTATTATCTAAGGGAACTAAACCCGACACAATGGGGCTGAAACCCGTAATGGGGAAGGCCAAAGGGGTAAAGGGCAGTGATGTAAAGGTAGAGAAGAAGATTGGAGCCAAAGTTGCTTCGAAGAAGACGGCCATATCCCCTAGAGCTTTATCTTCCCCAAAGTCATCATCCATCAGAATAGCTACAAATTCTAGCCTGAGGAAGAGTCAGTTCTTAAAAGTTGCAGCTTCCACCCGAAATCAGAGACCGAGTGATGTACATGGTGATAATGAACCTAAGCAGCTAGATAGTTATTCAGTCGAGGAGAAAACACTGCACGTTGTAGAAATGGAAGCAGAGAACTGGAAGAATGCAGAACAATGCGGTGTCAAACCATCTCCTCCTCCTCCATCATCATCTTCATCTTCATCAACTAAAAAGGATGGGGATCTTGGAGATTACGAGGAGTATACAGTATCAGAAGCAGGAGAGTATGATTGTGCTTCTGGAAGCAGCGGACCCGAGAGGGCAGAAGAAGAGGACGAGACATTGGGTGGAGAGAACAAACCAAGAGCAAGCAACAATGGTGATTCTGCAAGAACCGAAGCAGGGAAGTTACATTTCAGAAGAGGAAGGGTTGTGGACGTTAATTCTGAGAATGACAGTCCGAGGAGGATCAAGTTCAGACGAGGAAGAGCTCTCGGGGAAAATCAAACTGGGAATGGCCATGGAAAGAGGAGGAGCTTTAAGAGGAAAGATGATATTGCAGAAGACGATGACAATGGTGATGACCATGCCGGGGAAAACGTTGTGTTGAGGCATCAAGAAGTGAAGGACAAGAAAGAAGAACAGGGATTGTTCAACAATGTCATTGAAGAAACAGCAAGCAAACTGGTCGAAACCCGAAAAAGCAAAGTTAAGGCTTTGGTCGGAGCTTTTGAAACTGTCATCTCCCTCCAAGAATCCAAGCCTGTCACCAACTCCACAACCTGAACTCAGAGAAAAAAAATTCAAGAACAAGAGAGGAACCTAGCTTTGATCTTGACAAGCTTTGGCAATAAACTTACTTTACAGAAAAAGAAGAACTGGGTTTGTCTTTGGTTTTGGTTTTGTGGTTGGTTTCTGTTCGGTTTGTACAGAAAATACTGATATGATTCTTAACGTATCATTGTCTTGTGGTTTCTATCTTCTATGGGTGAATTGGAACCAAAACCGGTCCTAAACCTGAATTAGAATGAAAACCGGTTTAATTGTTCCAAAATCTCCAAGAATAGTGGGCAAACAAGGATGGCCAATGATAAATTGCCACGTCATCAGGACTGCTGAAATTGATAATGCATTTGTATATTCGTTAGTTATCAAAAACCTCACTCTATATAATTTACGACCGAAGTCTTTTTACAAATAAATTAATGAAAAATGTAAATAAAAAAACATTGGACTAACGACTGCTCTTTGTACCCACAACGATCCACCACTAGTCGACCGCCACGTAGAAGTACAAATTCGACGTGTCGAATTATGATTCGATTTCGTTTTGTATTTGGAACCGGCTTGTGATTTTGCTCAAACCGGGGAAATATTTTAATTTTCCCGCCAAAATAAACGTGTCGCGCCTTTTCCAAAAGAAATTGTTTCCCGGCAGATTTGCTCCTCAGGCCCTCTCCCTTCCCTGCATTATAAATGATTAACCTTTTTTCTTTTGCTCAAGCAAAACCGAAGAAGTCGTGGTGGGTTGCTCAGAATTCGTCTTTCGTAATCTCTGGAGCTTCTCGTGCTTTGGGTATCACCGTTTGTTTCTGATTCAATTTTCAAGCGATCTTTGGGCATCGTATGATTTTGCTGCTCATTAGCTCTCTTTCCCAGGAAAATGGGGCTTTTATTGCTGATGATGAGAATCGATTTGAGGAATTCGAGTTGGGTTTGTATCATCGCTTGTTTGTGTTTAGGGGTAGTTGTGTTGAAAGTGCTCGTGTGTATTCTCTGTGAAGTTTTGTTCTTGATTCGTAGGAACAACTTTTAACCAGCAACAATGTGCTGATGGGTTTGATTGGAGACTCCAACAATAAATCCTTAGGAATCTGCAGTGTAATGAAGAGTGGTTCTGAGGTGAAAGAACAATGAACCGGCTGTATTGAGAAAACCAAGGTTTCTTAAATGGCGTTAACGTTTATGATATGAAATTGCAAACCTTTTTAGGAACTGTGAGAAATGGCATTGAGGTTCAGTTCAGGCTCTGTCAATATGCATATGTGATGTGGTCTTTGATTTGAGGTTTGTGAATCTGGTTAGTTTACTCATTAGTTACAAGTTTCTTGCTCTTTTAGGGTTTGTTGTTGTTCTTGTTGTTGTGAAGTTTCTATTTTATTGCCCAACTTTGGGTACATTGTTGTTTGAGTTAACATCTCTTTCATTCTTGCTAGGTTGAGACTGAGGAAATGAAAACATCAAAACAATGCCGCTCTTGTATTCGCTCGGCAAGCTGTCAATGCACAAAATTCGGGCATCTTGATGAAGATGTTCTGTTCCTCATGTTCCAGAATCTGAACTGGAACCCTAAACTGATTGCCACCATGTCCTGTGTGTGTAAATGGTTCAATGAATTTTCCAAACGTGTACTGTGGAAAGAAGTGTGCAGGGCCAGGGCACCCAGAGTGGCACGTGACCTCCAGTCCAGAGGGAGCCAGACCATTGACGTGGAGTGGAGGGCACTTGGGAAACTTCTTGTTTACTGCACAGGTTCGAGCAAGGATGGACTCTTCAAAGGCGTTGAAACCCCCGGCCATTTTGTTCACAAGTCCCGTTTCATCAAGGCATCAGGGAAGTACTTCCTTCCTCCAAAGTGTAAAACCGATGTTTTATATGTTTCGCGCACATGTAGACACCTTGACGATGGGACAGAGGAGATGGGAACCATTGGTTGGGACCCTGGTGACATGGGATTCTTCCGAGGGGTTTTCAAGTCTTTTTCTACTTCGAAGGTTCGTAAAATGCTTATTGAGAAAGGGGCACCATTCCATCCCACAGAGGTGTGCCCTTATTGTGAGGCGAAGCTATGGAGTATCGGAGAGGCTGAAATGATACCGGAGACTGCTAGTATAAGTTTGGATGCTCATGAGCATGGTGTAGAATACTATGTTTGTCTCAACGGGCATATGATCGGTGCTTGTACGCTCTGGTACATCTTAGAGTCAGAATCAGAGTACGAGTACGATTGAATGGAACCCATCAGGTACTCCTTAAAGGGCATCTTTTTTTTTTCTTGGTATGGAGTTCTAATCTAACTTTGCAGTCATCCTTTTGAAAATGTGATCTCTTCCAGAATATGTTTGTTGCAGTGGTTAAAGTTCAGTTAAACAAATTGAATCTACCATCTGCTTCTCCAAGCATTCATGTCTGAGATTCCTAATCATCTAGCATGAACATGCATGTCTGATTTGATAGCATTGTTTCTTGGGCAGGTGATTCATGGTGGATTTGGACATCTTCGTTTTGTTATCTATCCAGACAATTGGGTTGGAAACTAGGATGCTAACTATTTCGGATTCTCAGCATGTATGTTTATGCATGGACAAAACTTGGAGGAGTGAATTCAGTTTGAGACATATCTTGTCTCCATAATCTATGTTTTGTCACATTTCATGATGTTGGCTCTTGCCAAAACCAGCTACATGTTTTGTTATCTTGCTTCTGTAGATTTACTCTTACAAGTCACTGGTTATGTCCTGCAACTGCATTTCTTGGAAATTCAATCAATTTGACAGATCCAACAGCTTCTTGGTTGTCTCTCTTGATGGTCCAAATGCCACAGCAAACAGGTTATGGGTTATGTGCTATGTGACATAAGACAAAATCCACTCTATGACATGTACAGAAACTGAGGTAAAATATGACAATGGGTTCTCTCTCAGGCTGCATGTCCTTGCTTTAACCCAGATTCCTCCTCCGCCATAAAATCAAGCCCTGAAATCTTCATCGGTCCTATGTTAACTGCAAAGTCATGATTTCAAGTTCAATTTCAGATGATTTGATTCCAGAAAACGAGAAAATATATCAGAGTCTGGACAAGCAAGTGGTTAAACTGCATACTAATGACATCTAGCCCGGCTAACTTGGGCATGAACTGCTTGACATGTTCCTCGGCTGCTTTCTCCGCCTTCAATGTCTCACACTCGAAAGAAATGGATATCTTCTTCTTGCCATGCTTCTGCTCAATCAAATCTATAACATCTTTCTCCCAACTGTTCATGAACACGTTCAGACACAGGACAAGACAAAGGCTCATTCCAGTTATAATGTTCACCGACTGTTCTGAGCTTGCAAGTTGCAAGACACATGCTCGATAAAAGCTAGGAACTTTTATGACTCTCAATCCAGGAGCTTTAGATTCTCTTATCGATCCCCTTAAAGCTAACAACTTTCATGACCGTCTCACTCCAGATTTACTCAAAGATGAAAGAATGCATATGATTATGTTCACAAGCAATGCATATACTCAGATTAATCTCATTGCAGTTGTTGCTTGCAAGTCACATACTCGATATTCTATTGTGTTGTAACCTCAGAAATTAGCACGACCAACAAACGAGGGCTTACCCATGAGCATGGTCGATGTCATGGATTCGGGCAGCATCATGACCTTTGCACTCCACTACAACTGCTCGCTCCTTCTTGCTCTTTTCACCAGAGAAAAAGAATGAAATGCAAGATTCAGGTCAGGTCCATGGTTTTGACTTAAGAACGCAATAAAAATTTGGAGACGGTGAACATGGAAAAAGATGAAGCGAGGAGCTCGTACGATGTAGTCTATGATGGTGAGCTTGATCAGTCGATAATCGTCACCATGGCTGCACTCGGTTTCACATGCCAGCTCTTTTGAGAAACAAACAGAACAAGAGTTAAGGTAAACAATACTCGTAGGAATGATCTATATCTCAAATGTAGAATCTGAGGCAGAGAAATCACGCAGTGATATTCTGATAGTGAACTACCCTTGTTAGGAGCTAAATCATTCCCTGTACAATGACTATTCCGCTTATGTTCTATGTTATTTTAGCAGTAGCTCAGAGTCAGGGAAACATCTGTAACAGGCTCCATCTCTAGCATTCACTTGCCATCAAACCCTGATATGTCAGCTGGTTTCAGACTAATGAATATGTCTGAGGGCAAAATTTCTAATCAACTTGGAACCAAATAGATGTGCACAAAAGAAGGAAAAGAACACATAAATGTTGAAAGCGTTTCAGATGCAAACACCTAAAGCAAAACACTTGTGAGCAAATCAGAATCTGCGACAAGAATCAAATCAAATTCCAGACATTTCCCACCAACAGAGTCAACCGAACATACAAAAAGACAGAATCTTTTTCATTTTCCGGCAACAGAAATCTACGAAGTGTACCAGTGCCATGGAGGCCATAGCAGATAGACTGAGGAAGCTGAATGAAATGTCCAGTGATAGACCCACATGGCAAAAGTGCTATTGATGCTATTCCTTCCTTCTGCATCTCCTTTTCTCTCTCCCCATCTGGCATAACACAACTTCAGTTCTCCAAAAACGGATATAAAACACAAGATGAATAGAGAGAGAGAGTACCCATTGTTGAACCCTAAGAAAAGTGACCCTTTTTTTTACCCCTTCGGCGTTGGCAAGAGTGTGAGAGAAAATCAGAGGATTTAATCGGCAAAATAACAAAAATAACCTTAAAAATGACAAGAGCACCAGCCATAACCTTAGAATCTCTAGGGTTTCCCAAAAAACCAATATTTTTAATAAAATTACGGAAATACCAGAACAACTAGTATGACCAAAATTTGAGGTATGACCAATTCAAACGGTATAACCAGTCTGACTAAATTTCTGTTAGTCTGACTAAATTTCTGTTAATTTGACAATCTACATTTGGTATCAGAGCAAGGTAACGATTATGGACAACGAAAAAATTGATTTTTCGAAGGGATTACCATTAATATTAACCAATGA